AAGCCTGCAGAATGCTCCTGGGGTTTGGAGGAAGGGAAAAACACCTCTGTTTTTGCGAAAAACGGTCTTTTTCTGCCCGTTTTTCACAAAAATGAGATGCGGGGGCAGGGCTTCAGAAGGCCAAAAATTGCTGTATTTGGTCTATAAGATGCACCAACATTTCCACACACTCCTAGAGGGGAAAATGGTGTATCTTATACTCCGAAAAATACGGTATTTACAATGGTTGCACTGTCCTGGGGTCATCTGATCGTCATTTGCGACCTTGCCAGCTGGCTTCTGACAAGTCAATGGCCAGATTTGCTTAACTGTCAGGATCCTTATCTTTGGCCTGGCGCCTTGCTGGGTTCCCTCCCCTCAAAGGGAAAGGGAGTGGGGGAGGCATTTGGGGCAATCCACAACTTTGTATCTAATGGTGGGAAATGGGGAGGTGATAACAGAAGTAGACTAGATCGCCAAACCGGCTTATACTAGAATCTTCAAGGCCGTTTACCCTGAGAATGGAATGTTATCAGTTTCAAACCACAGAGTTTCTCAAAACATCACGTCAGCGTTGGCTGACCAGGGGACTGGTCATGAGGGGGAGAGATTGGGAGTTGGAAAGGATAGTTTTATTTATTTTGCACGTAAACACCTGATTCCGCCTGACTTTGCTGCAATCAGTTTCTTTCAGTAAAAGTTCCTGTGCTTCAAATAAATGGAGTCACAAGTTTTACTTTCCTGAGAGAGCAAACTGGGGCAGGTGTGACATTAAGAATACCGTGATTCACTTAACAACACAGTGTTTTGCTTGCCAATGTTGACAAAAAAAAGGTAGCAAAATTGGGCACAACTCACTCAGCAACTGTATTCCTTAGCAACAGAAATTTTGGCTGTAAGTCAAGGACTACCTGTACATTTCTGCTTTATGGTTCTGAAGCCTTTGGATTTTTAAATGCCGCTAAACGGAAGTTTTTGAAGGGATGCGGTGGCTCAGTGGCTAAGACTCTGAGCTTGTTGATGAGAAAGGTTGGCAGTTTGAAGCCCTAGCGCTGCGTAATGGAGTGAGCTCCCATTACTTGTCCCAGCTTCTACCAACCTAGCAGTTCAAAAGCATGTAAAAATGCAGGTAGAAAAATAGGAACCACCTTTGGTGAGAAGATAACAGCGTTCCGTGCACCTTTGGCGTTTAGTCATGCCGGCCACATGACCACGGAGACGTCTTTGGATGGTGCTGGCTCTTTGGCTTTCAAATGGAGATGAGCACTGCCCTCTAGATTCGGGAACGACTAGCACATATGTGCATGGGGAACCTTTAACTTAAATTACAGTTTGCCTCACTTGGTCATTGCTGCTCAGAACAGAGTTTCACCCTTTTTCATTCCACCTCTTGGTTCCATCAGTGGATACTCGGGCCCTCATAAGACATCCAATGTACACTGCCTCTGGACCTGGAGTCTCCAGGCAGTGATTAAAAAAAAAAAATTTCCAATTTCCAGACAGAGTTTTTCATGGCCCTGTCTCTGTTTTCCACCAGATGAGAACAGCAGCCAGAGTTCTCTTTCGGAGACGTCCCTGCAGAAAGGAGGTGACACCAGCCCCACCCCTACCCCGGATCGAAGCCAGACGGTGACTCCCACCCTCTTAGGAGAGCTGAAGACAGAAGACTTGCAGCCACCTCTGTTGGGGCAAGAGGGAGGTAGGTTCATCTGAGGATAGATCTTGTGGCATTAAGCAACAGCCCATGTTGCCTTGTGTTATGGTCTTGCTGGACTTATTGGGGGAAAAGGGGAATGGGAGGGAGAGGAGGAGGAGACGAATGGGAGGGAGAAGGGGAGGGAGAAGGGGAATGGAAGGGAGAAGAGGAGGAGGGGAATGGGAGGGAGAGGAGGAGGAGACGAATAGGAGGGAGAGGAGGCGAATGGGAGGGAAAAGAGGAGGGGAATGGGATGGGGAGGAGGGGAATGGGAGGGAGAGGAGGAGGAGGGGAATGGGAGGGAGAGGAGGAGGGGGA